AGGACTTAGTGCATGCTAAGCACATGCTCCACCCCTGAGCTATACCCTCCCCCAGTAGCTGTGTCTTTGATGAACAGAAGCTCTTCATTTTCAACAAGTCCAATGAACTATTTCCTAAATAAGAGTTTTATGTGCTAAGAAGTCTTTGCCCTCAGGTAACGATACTCTCCCGTGCTTCATCCTATAAACTGTATTATTTTAAGTATATCATTTATTTCAAATTAATTTTTCCACCTGGTATAAAGCACAGTTAAGGCTTTATTCCCAGATGGATTTCCATTCATTTCAGCATCATTTATTAGAAGTGCCACTGTTTCCCCAACAGAGTTACAGCAGCACCTTTTTCACAAATCAGGTCGCTGTGCATGTGCAGGTCTTCCTCTGGGCTCTGCTCTGGTCTGTTGTTTTATGTGTCTGTCCGTGTGGTTCTGCTCCCCTGGCTCGGTTACTGTAGCTTTGTAATGCGTCTGGATGTCCTGTAGTCTTCCACCTTTGTTCTTCCACACAGTATTGGCCATTCTGTATTCTTTGAATTTCCATAGAAAATTCTATGATCTACTTTAAAAAAAACCTCTTGGGATTTTGATTGTATTTTCCATGCATATGACAAAAACTTACATGCAGACTGTATAGAGAAATCCTGTCAATAAGAAGCCAGTAAACGCATTTTCAGTGGGCCAAGTATTTGAGATAAGTCTAATGAAGAATGTGCAAACTTCTACCCATGAGGCCACAGGGGCACCTAGCTGAGCCCCACCCAAATTGCTGACCCATAGCAATGTGAACAAACCACACGGTGTGGGTCGCAGTGGATTGTTGGGCGGCAGTTGGAGACAGATAGATCCTGGCCCCAGTCCAGCTGGGCTTTGGCCTCGGCTCTGCCTGCTGCTTTGTAGTTCTTTCTCATCTATGTCTGCTCTGAAGAGATGTTTATGTTTTGTTCAAAACTGTCTGTTTGCTTTTCTCTTTTTGTACCCATCCATCACCGTTGTGTGCGTGAACACAAGGAACGTATGACTGTGTGAATTTACTGTGCCATTTTAACTGGAAGCTCATGGTCTCTCTTAATTCTTTGAGATCAAAGAATTTGCTCCTGAAGTTTTTGCTTCCTGAGGTCTCACTTATTCCTGAAGAGATCCATTGCCTGTCTTTTAATGCTTTGCTCCTTCTTGTCATCATTTCTTGACTGCAGGATTTGGTGCACTAACCGAGGCGGTTGTTCGGGTTCTTCTTTTCGCCTGTTTCGTTGCATCATGCTTGCCCTGCTTCTGGGTTCCCTGGACCCTGCTTGTAAGTGTCTTTCAGAATTTTAGCCTGAAGACAGCTCTTGTCTGATAAAGGTACAATGCAGAGTTGGTTTCCCCAGAGTCGGCTGGTTTAGACTCCGCTCTCTTTTTCTTTTATAATAATTTTTTAAAAGTCTTGGTCTTCGACTTTTCTTCTGACCTAAGTGGTGAGGGAGTGAGGGGTTCATAAATTCAGCATGTCCTACTGCTCCGCTCAGCACTGTGTTCATCAGCTGTTTCACAAGGTACGTTTGGCTTTTTCCCACCTGGGCCTTCCACGCCTCCCGCCCCTCACCCCAGCTATGTCCCAGTTGTGTTGGCCATTCAGAGCGTTATCGCTCATTCTCCGTAGCTGCTCCTCTGTTGGGAGGGGAGGCCCTGCATTGCAATCGCTGTGGTCACTGTGCAGCTTGGTCCTGACTCTTCTGTCATGGGATGCTGTGGAAGTTTTGCAGTTTGTGGTATGATGCTGGATCCCTTTACCGGTCGTAATGTTGCTGGAGAATTCATTCTTTCCCTCCCTCATTTTGGTGTATTATTGCTTCTTTCAGTTTGCTTTCTTAGTTACCTTCACTTAGGAGAGTGATTCTATGAGTCTGAGTGTTCCACAGGTCAAAATATGTATTTTTTAATGTCCATTTTGGTAAATTTTACGCTGTTTTTTATTCTTGTAAGATCTTTTGTTGAGAATTGTTTCATGAACAAATTCAATAATCTTAAATTGTAAGAACTACTAATAAGATTGTGTTTATCACATTTGTAGTCTCGTCTCAAGGAATTGGAGCAAGAAGCCCATTTTGTTGCAGGAGAACAGTTTCTTATAACGAGCAGTAATCAGCTTCGGGAGGTAAAGCTAAGGCTTGGTTCTTCTATAACATATGTTTCTTATTCAGGGATCAAAGGGAGATTTATTCTGCATTTATAAATTTTTTTATTGTAGTGTTAAATGTTATGAATTTTTAATAATTTATCCGAAAAGCATGTAAGCTGTTCATGTTCTCTCACATTGAGATTCGTTACTTCAAAGCCTTTAAATCCAAGAGAAGTAGAAAGTCAGAATTTCAGTTTCTTGTAACCCCTGATGGGCGTGTCTTCTCTGGCAGGTCCTCTAGCTGTCACGGGTGTGCGGCCCCCTCAGGCCTGGGACCCGCTCACCTCCCGTGACTGCTTCTCCTGCAGATCCTGTTTGGCAAGCTCAGGCTGCACCTGCTCTGTCCAAGGGAGACCTTCCCCAGAACTGGGCTGCAGAGACCCCCATCCACTTCAGAAGCCGTGGTAAGGTTCGAAAAGTGGCCCTTTGCTTTTTGAAACAATAGTGTGTCCACAGCACGTGTACGTGGACTCTCAGACCCACCCGTGCTTCTTGTGGCGGGACAGGCTGGTGGTGACCACCATGGACCATTTCCTTTTTACGGCAGAAAAAGTGCCCCCACCCCAAGGCTCCCCTCCTAGTTATGAGCCAAGGACACAGAGGGTTATGGTACAGTGTTCCAGAAGCAGTAAGTTAGCTTTATTTTCTGCAAAGACAGTGTGATGGCATTTTGTTCTGAAAACCAAATTCTTGACCATCTAGACACAACCGCTTTGTTTCATGCCCTTGTGAGACCAGAAATGGGAGAGATCTTCTTTCCCTGGGTTTACTTTAGAACATTTTATCTACCCTTCTCTGGAGAAGAAAACATTTTTAAAACACGGAGCAGTGAGCGTCTACTCTAACAGAATGGCAGAGTATAAATGGGTATTGAGAACCCAGTACGTGGCATCACGGGAAGCCTGTGGAGGGGGTCAGCAAGTAGGTGGTTTTGTGTTGCTGTGGTGAGACCCGGCTCGTCTCTCTGTGCCCGACTGTTCAGCGTTGGCTTCTGCAGCCAAGGACGGTTTCCCTCTAGACTCCCTTGCGCACGCTGCCTCTTCCGCACCGCACTCCGCTCATCTCAGCCCCTCGCTTGCCGCTGTCCCCAGGCTGGCCCTCGGCGGGTCAGGCAGGGAGTGATGCTCCCCTGAAGGGGCTGAAATCTGCCCTTCCCCCCGAGTCTTCCCCACCTCAGGGAGCGTCCTCCTCCTGTGTCCTCGGGAGCTGGCAGTGGTAGAGCAAGGGCTGGGGGTCAGCCCACGCCCCAGCTGCACAGTGTAGGACACGTTACTTGACTGCTCTGTGCCTCAATTTCCTGATCTGTAAAAGAAACATGATAAAAGTGCTTTCCCTACTGGAATCTCGTGAGGATTCAGCGTGTGTGCGTGTGTATGCGTGTGCGTGGTGGTGGTATAGAACAGTATTTAGGAGCTATGAGCTCTCAAAGACTAGTCAGTATTGGCTGTTATTATTAGCTACTTCATCCAAAATCCTAGGAGTCATCTTTGATTCTCTTTCATGCTCACCCCATGGCAAGTTTATGACGTCTGCCTACAAAAACGTGCCGTGAGTCTGCCTGCTTGCCTCCGTCTTCCCTGTCACCGCCTCAGTCTCCTCCCGCTTAGACTGCCCCAGAGCCTCCTAAGTGGTCGCCCGGCTTCTGCCCTTTCCCTGCTGGTGACTCATCACGTCCAGGCAGGATGATCTTTAAAAGCGTTAGAAAAATCCTGTCGCTCCCCTGCCTTAAACTTCCAGTGGCTTTGCATGACACTTCGAATAAAATCCAGGCTCTGGGGTCTGTCCCCCTAGGCGTGTGGGTCTGGCCTTGCCCCTTCTCTGACCTCCCTCCCTCCTCCCTCCCAGCACCCTCCTTAGCACGCTTGCTGCCCCGAGGATTCCTGCAGAAGCTCTTTCCTCACCCTGGAGACTCTTACCACAGGTTTTGCATAGCTGGTTTCTGGCTGTCAGCTTAAGTACTGCTTCCAGAAAGACCTTCTTTGGTCACAGATGACAGGCCCCCAGCTGCAACCTATTTCTTCACCTTGATTTGCTTTCTGCATACAACTTGCTGTTACCTAAAGTTATCTAGTTACTTGTTTGCTTGTTCCACACAGATCAAAGACTTCCTCTGACTAGCTCACTACCTCCCCAGAGCCACATGGCCTGGATTAGCCCTCTTCCAAGGTGGCTGCGCCATTCTGTGTTCCCACCAGCGGTGAGGAGAGTCCTCGTTGCTCCATGTCCTTGCCCACAAGTGGCGGTGTCAGCGTCCTGGATTTTGGCCAGTTTGACAGGCATTAGCTATGTTTTAAAAAACTACTCTTGTAGCTGATTGGAGAGGCTGTGGCTGTAGTGTGGGATCTGATAGCCCTGGAGTCCAAGTGGTGGCCGTGAAGATGGAGCACAGCAGACATGTTTTCAGAGCGTTTTTAGAACAGAAGGGAACTTCTGTGGGTGTGAATGCAGAGTAATTCCTGGTTTTCTCAGTTGTGCACCTGAGCAGATAGAGATGTTTGCTACTCAGAGAAACTGGGGGAGGAGCAGTTTACTGGGGAGGGGGGACATGGTTCGATCTTGGGCACGTTAAGACAGAAGTGTTCAGAAGACTTGACACAGAGACATCACACGAGCAGTTGGCTCTGAGGAGAAGTCTTGTGCTGGAGATGCACACTTGGAAGTGGTCAGCCGACTTTATTAAAGTCGGGCAGGTGACCGCCTGGGACAGTGGTCCTCCGCCCTGGCAGGAACTTTGGGAAAACACTCATGCCCAGACCCATACTGACCCACAGAATCAGGGTCTGTGGGCTGGGTGGCCCAGTCACGTACATGTTTTTGAAGCTCCCCACTGATTCTGTACGTAGCCGACACTGATAACCACAGAACTGATCTCTGCAACACTGACATTCAGGGTCAGACAGAGGAGAGGTACCCGCAGAGGCTGCATTCTACCGAGGGGCCACGGTGGGGAGGGAGAGGAGAGTGCGGTGTCGGGAGCCAACAGGGGGCATGTGCTCGGGCTTGTGGGGCGGCAGGTGGCCACGGCCTCTGCCTCTGATCGTTCACCGGCACAGCAGGGCTTTATCCAGAGTTTAAGGAAATCAAACACTTAATTCTTTTCAAGTGTTCTCAGACAGCTCGATTCAAGATACACAGGGAGACTGTGGTTAGAAAGTTATTTTGTGAGTAGGGTATCAGGAAAAGGAGAGTTAGTTGATCTTCAGCAATTTTCTTGGCTGAGTATCTTCATGCACTTTCATCCCCCTAGGGACAGCTTTTCTAAAAAACTACAATTCTGGATGACACTGAGGCAGGACTCCTCCCTCTGGGCGGTGCCTACTCCAAGGACACCAGTGTTGGTTTCTGTGGCTGGCCAAGACTTGTGTCCTCAGTCTTTATGCAAACGGAGAGTACAGTTCTGTGGTTTATGCATTAAAATTGTATCATCAGTTCTCCCCGAGATTGCTTCATAGATTAAAAGTGATCCTCACTAATACCCTAGCAGGAGCTTTTGGTAGATATTGGCAAGCTGAATCCCAAACATATATGGACATGCAAAAACTAAGAAGAGCCAAGATGATCTCGGCAAGAGGCCTACTGCGTATCAAGAGCAGTAGTGAAACAACAGAGTTATGAGGAACTGATGAGTTCAACGTATTATCGATTCAAGGATAAACAAGTAGACCAGTGGGCCAGGACAAGGACTCTCCACACAGACCTCACGTGTATGGATAAAACGCATGATCTCTGAAAGGGCTGCCCTGCAAAGCAATAGTGAGGAGGGTTTGTTACATGCAGGGCCAGTGCATCTTGGCCGCTACTTCACACCACGTGCAGAAATAAATTCCGAGTGAACTGTGTTTCTAAACATAAAAAGTAAAACAAAGGTTGTAGAAGGTACCATAAAAGAATATTTCCAAGACCTTGAGGTAGATAAGCATCCTTAAACAGGACACAAAATGCATCAAGCGTAAGGGAAGAAACCGATAAACTGGGCAACAGTAAAACTAAGAATCTGTTTATGAAGAGACACTATTAAAAAGTGAAAAAGCAAGCCACAGAAGGGTAGAAGATATCTCACCAAGGAGAGCCAACTAAAGGAAACCCTGCCCAGAATAATGAATTCCTATAAATCCAGAAGAAAAAGACACACAAACCAATGTTTTAAAATGGACAGAAAACATGAACAGGGGTTTAATAAAAGAAGATACACAATTAGTCAATAAACGTTTGACTAATGCCTGACTTTATTAGGGAAATGCACACTAGAGCTACAGTGAAGTAAGACTTCGCATTTACCAGAAGGACTAAAATTAAGACCTACGATAATGTGTGTTGGCAAAGACGTGGAGCAGCAGTGCCATGCACCGGTGACAGGGACGTAAACCGGCACGCTTACTCTGGAGGACAGGCTGGTGTTAGCTCTACTCCACGGACCTGGCAACCTCACTCCTCCTTTTTCTTAATTTTTTAATTGAAGTACAGTCAGTCACAATGTGTCACTCTCTGGTGTACGGCACAATGTCCCAGTCATGCTTATACACACACACATTCATTTTCATATTCTTTTTCATTGAAGGTTATTATAAGATATTGACTATAGTTTCCTGTGCTGTAAAGAAGACTTTTTAAAATATATTTTTATATATAGTGGTTAACATTCGCAAATCTCAAACTGCCAAATTTATCCCTTCCCACCTCCTTTCCCCCAGTAACCATAAGATTGTTTACTATGTCTGCGAGTCTGTTTCTGTTTTGTAGTTAAGTTCATTAGTGTCTTCTTTTTTTCTTTTTAAAGATTCTGCATATAAGTGATATCATAGAGTATTTTTCTTTCTCTTTCTGGCTTATTTCACTTAGAATGACAGTCTCCAGGTCCATCCATGTTGCTGTAAATGGCATTATTTTATTCTTTTTTATGGGTGTGTAGTATTCCATCGACATGCATTACCAAAATACTGTGGATGTATGTTAACCAAAATCTATGTATCTGAAGTGGAAACAACCCCATATCCATGAAGGACAGAATGGATAAATAATTGTCCTGTGTTCAAAACAATTCCATACAGCAGTGCAAGTAAATGAAATACCGCTTCACACAACAAGGACCAGTCTTAAAACCATGATGTTGAACAAAAGAAGCCACACACAAAGAGTACCTATCCTGTCCCATTGATAGGAGGTTCAGAACCTGGAAAACGTGGTCTTGGTCTTGCTGGTCAAGGTCAGGGTGGCGGTTACCTCTGGGGAGGGTGGCAGGGGAAGCAGAGACCTGCTTGGGAAACTGGAGTGTTCCCTCTGGGTGACAGTACCCAAGGGTGCTTACTTTGTGATAATTTAACAAGCTGTGTTCATATGATCTTATACTTATGTATATTTTGGCTTCCTAAGATTAACTTTAAAACCCATGATCACACTCCAGTGTTACCTCCCTGACTTTACACCTAGATAATTGTGACTCAGATGTGGGTGTCCCCACACTAGTGAGTTACTCACTAAGTCTCAAGAGGAAATAAATCTTATTTCCAAGCTCATGTGAGTACTTTTATCTCCCAAAATAATGATTTTGCAGGGGATTAAGATTAAGACACTTGATAAACTGAGTTTATTATGAGTCTTCATTTTGGAAAATATGCTCAAGATAGACCATTTATTATTAGGGCTTTCTCTAGCTGAAAATAAGTGTTTCAAATGTTAAAATTAAATGAAGGAATTATATTGATGACATTTATTCTTTTTTTTAGTTAAATGCTCTGCAAGACCTTCATCTATTACCCAAAATAATTTTGGAATATAGGCAGGTAAGTTAATTTTTTTGTACGTAAGTTGGTAATGAAGGGGAACCACGCGACACCGGGTCTGTTCACAAATCCATGGTCACTGAAGTAGCCCTGACAGTGTTCT